TGGATGAGTCTGTAAACCCCTCTTCCCTCCACTCTGTTTCTCTTCCCGGCTCCTGCTTACGATCCTGTGTGGCTGCAGAATGTGGGACTTCTCTGATCACTGAAGCGACCATGTCTGTGCTAACTTACAGGGTGGCTCAGGAAGGAAGGGTGGAGGAAGTCAGCTGACCTTCTCTCCCCAGGACAGCAGGGGGTTAGAATCAGCCACCTCTGTCTAGCCAACCACGACTCCCACCCCAGCAGATAATCAGCACTGGGCAAGGCTGCCCCAGGTTGCCTTTGGCAGGGATGGAGCCAAAAGGAGAGGAGTTTTGAAGCCTTCCCAACCTTTCAGTCGATTTGGTGATCTCTTGGATTGGGTGGGAGTCCACATACACACTGTTAACCTCTATCTCCCATCTGTAACATAGGGGTAAAAACCCTAGCCTACCTTACAGGACTGTTGTAAGGATCATTGCAATGATATATGTGAAGTATTTTGAAAGCTAAAAGCATTCTACTGATGCTAAACCCTCTTGTATTCTGATGTCCATCTGCTTAATCCCCCCTGGGCTAATGAAAGCAAAGGAAGGTGGTGCTTTTATCTCTGAAGTCAATAGGTTGGACATTGAGCCTTTTGTGGGACAGGTCCATCAACTCTGTGAGGCTAGGCCATCAGCAGGTAACCTTGTACATTTCCATTCCCTGGGAGGCAAGAAAAAAGCTCAGATTATGGCACTAGCTTCAGAATCTACCTTCCTGAGAAGCTCAGATTTCGCTTTTTTAAAAAAAGAGAACAAGTTTCTAGTCCTCATTATGTAAAAACTGGCTATACTCCTTCAAGCGTGTATCAGATGAAAGTACAGCGGATTTGAAGATGATTTTTATGTTGAGATTACATACTGTCCTGGCTTTGGCTTGAGGGCAAGGCAGATGCACAGTTGTCCCAAAGCTTTTGAGTTGTGGTTAAGGTGGAACACTTGCTACAGTTGGAAGACAGGGTTTGATTTCATGCACACTCAGGGAAACAATCAGGGCAAAGGTTCTTCTCCAAAGTCTCAATGTGAGAACACTCAGTGGCAAGTAGATAGGGTTGCCAGGTCCAAGTTGGGAAATACCTGGAGATTTGGGGGGTGGAGCCTGAGGAAAGTGGGGTTTGGGGAGGGGAGGGGCTTCAGTGGGGTGTAATGGCATAGAGTCCACCTTCCAAAGCAGCCATTTTCTCCAGGCGATCAGTTGTAATAGTAGGAGAACTCCAGCCATCACCTAGAGGTTGGCAACCTTACAAGCAGAGTCTATTTTGGGGGCGAAGTGATTAAATATAGAGTTAGCCAGAGGCAGATGTGACTTCTTAGAGTTGTGGATCCCATTTGAAAGCTCCCTTACTGCATTCAGTCAAAACGTTTTCCCCCCTCCAGGGCTGAGTTTTGAAAAAGAAAGGGAAAATAACCCTGTCTGCACAGCAAAATCTGTACAGAAATAGAGTCCGTGCAGCACTGATTGGCTAGCACCTTTTGCCATTACCCTGAAATATCACCTGCTCCATTCCCTGGTTAACAGGAATGAATGGATAAATGTAGATGGGCAAGACTGATGGCTCAGGGACAGAGCATCTGCTTTGCTTGCAGAAGGTCCCATGGTTGATCCCTGGTATCTCTAGTTAAAAGGCTCAAGCAGTAAGTGATGTGAAAGTCCTTGACCAGGGAGTCGGGACCCTGGAGAGTTGCTGCCAATCAGAGCTGACCAGACGTGGTACAAGACAGCTTCACACCTTCAGGGGTTCAGTCATCATCTGAACCAACCAGTCTAAAGGCCAAAAACCATTGCTCAAAAGAGCTGCAATGCATTCTCTCTCTCCCTCTCTCAATGAAATTTTGCTAACTTCCTTGTAGGGCTAAGGGAAAGTGTTTTTAACCCTCCCCTCCCCTAGGTGTTGTAACCCCTGCCCCCCCGGTTGCATGTTTGTTTGTTTTTAATCGTGGGATTCTGTCTCAGACTTTGCCGATGTGCCTTGGCTTTGAGCCACACTGCCAGTTAGCAAGGGGGTGCCAACTCCCATCAGCCCGCACTATGCAAGGGGCACAGTGGGAGCCTGGAGACCAGACCACAAGCTCAACGGAGGGGCCAACCATGTCGGAGACCATTACCCTGAAATATCACCTGCTCCATCCCCTGTTCTGCTTCATGCGTGCACACTCCAGACAGGCAGAACAATGGGCTCCAGGGACAGATCCCATTTCTTTGAGGAGGTTGGAATAGGCTGTGGTGGCTGAGTAACCACGGAAACCGACACCCAGGGCTTGCGCACAGGTGCTTTGGGAAGAAATCAGAGCAGCCGTACGGCTGTGGCCTGTTTGGCAAGTTTCAACCCGAAGAATCCCTGGCGCTGTGACCTCTCTCCTGCATCAGCTGCTGTAAGGCCCCCTTTCTCTCTGTGGCCAGGATTAGGTCCGGTCTACACAAACACACTCAGGGCCCTGACCTGGATGGCCTAGGCGTGGCAGTTCTTTCCAGATCTCAGAAGCTGGCCAGGATCGTCTCTGATTCGTACTTGGATGGGAAACCACCCAGGAAGAGTGGGGCCGCCATGCAGAGGCAGGCAATGGCCAACGACTGCTGTTTGTCTCGTACTCTGCAAACCCCATGAGTGGTCTCTGTACATTGGCTGCTGTTCAACGGCACTTTCCACCACCACAAATACGGGGGGGGGGATACAATTCTGTGCAATACCACTTAAACGTGCCCCCAAAAATCCCTTCAATAATTAAAGACCCCTAGCAGGTCAGAGAAAAAAGTTCTAGCTCAACTCTTCTTTTGCTGGGCTACTTTTCTACTGCTGGCTGACTTTTCGGGTAGACACGAGTGCGAAAAATGATATCCCCCCACATGAAGCCTGAAATGGTGTTGTCTATTTTATTGCAGACCCAGCCCCAGGACTCTACCACCTCATTCTCTGGCATGGGTTGATCAGGGCGTATACAGTGGAGTTTGCCAGCCAGCTATGTTTTTTTTCTGTGTGGGGAGCCAATGAGATTTTTATGTATTTATTTGTTTTTTGTATTTATATCCCACCCTGCCTGCAAGTGGGCCCTGGTGGGTAACAACATTCCAGTAATACAATAAAATAATTAAAAGTTAAAACACATAATAAACATTAAATTGGAGGTCACAGTTCAAAGACAGAAATTACCTGGCTGCGAGAGGTTCCATGGCCCATTAGTAATGGCTAACTGTTATTGAATGGGTGACAAAATCTCAGGGAGGCCATATATGGACACCTGCTGCCTCATCCAAAGGCCTGGCAGAACAGCTCCGTTTTGCAGGCCCTGCGGAATGGAAAGAAAGATGTCGTGGTTAGAGTGCTGGGCTAAGACTGGGGAGACCCAGGTTCAAATCCCGACTGTGTGGTGAAGCTTGCTGGGTGATCGTGGGCTAGTCCACCTCTATCAGGGTTGTCGTGGTGTTATGCATTGTTACTGTGCCTGAGCTTCGTGCCAAGTTTCACAGTCTGCAAGGATCCTGAGATCTTCCTTTTGGTTGGCTGTTAGTGTAGCAGGCCAATCAGGAGATGACATAGTTTTGGAGGGAATTACTATTATTGGTTCTCAATATGAAGAGGTATTTGTATTGAATGCAGCTAATGCCTGAGCTTTGTGTTAGACTAGGAATAAGGCCTGTTGTACAAATAAATACAAGCTCTAGACAGAGGCGAGGGAGGAGGGCTGGCCACGCTTAACCCGCCAAGCAGGGGCAGGGTGCGCTGCAACAATAGCCTCCAGCAGCTCTGGTGTGTCTCCGCAGACAGCCTTCCCGGTGGCGGTGGGGTGGGAGAAAGCCGTTTGCTGCAGAGAGGCAAGGAAGGAATGCGACGATGGCACATGGCTAACCACATCCACACTGGATCGGCCCCGCAATACTTGCGCTTCTTTCGTCGGCTTCCCTGCCCTGCCCCTCTATTTTGAAGGTGCTGCGGTGGCAGACCAAGGCAGCATCGCCCGTCAGAAGCGCCCCCTGAGGCGTCACCATTTGTTGATGCGATGGGGGGTCTGGAGCAGAGTGGGGCAAGTGGGGCTTCTCTGCCGCAAAGGAGCAGTGGGCGGTGGGCAGGGGCAGGCAGCGGCAGTTGAAAGCTTTGGCGTTGGCGGCGGCAGCAGCAGCAGGAGTGCCTGGGGCCTCAGCAGCAGCCAGCTTGCCCCTGTTCCGGTAAACCCCCCACCAAGCTCCCTCTCCTCCTCCTTCAGTAGAGTGCCGTGGGGTTGTCCGTGGCAGGTCTCTCGTCAACGTCGGCAAGCTAGAGCATGGGGGGGGGGGTCTGAAGCGGGTAAAGCCAGGTTGCGGCAGCAACCTGGAGCGTTGTTGGGGGGGGTCTGAAGCGAGTCGAGCCGGAGTCTCTGTCTTCTGAGGGGACCGGGTGCGGTGGCAGGGCTGGAGTGTCTGTATTCTGATGGATCCAGACGCACTGTGAGGTAAATTTTTGTTGGTGCTGCTTCTGTGGGCAGGACTCACGCCATGCAGCCAATGGATAGGGTAAGGTGGGTAAGCTTCTGAGTGACAGGTCAGGGAGCCAACTGATTTGGGAACGTGTGGAATGTTCTGGAGAAGTGCCACCCGAAAACAGAGTTATATATAAGGAGAGATACCATTGCTTGCTAGGATTATGTAGCACCTGCTCTGATTGGCTGCCTAAGTTGGCAGACCAATCAGGGAAGACTAGAGTAAAGAGGGAAATGAAAATATGGTATTCTGTAGTGTTTATTATGATTGGTTATTACTGATTTAGGAGGTGTGGTTTTGACTGCTCTTGACTGTATATAAATGGGGTGTGTTGCTGGGTTGGTTGTTGTGTTCAGAGCTGAATAATAAAAATCACTGTTTTGAGAAAGAGCTGCCTCAAGCCCAGTTTATAATGCATGTGGTGATAAAATGGATGGGGGGGAATGATGTGTGCTATCCTGAGGTCCAGGCAGGGTAAAAAAAATGTGCTAAATAAAAACACCACCACTTTCTTCTTGCATTCTGCAGGTGCTGGGCTGTTTGGTGTGGACCCTCATTGCAGACACGTACTACCAGCCCTACCCTTCCTATGGCTGGGTGATGTTTGTAGCTGTCTTCTTCTGGATGGTGACAGTCATACTCTTTGCAATGTATCTTTTCCAGCTTCAGCTGAAACTCTACATGATCCCTTGGCCTATTGTGGTGAGTACTTGAAGACTGAGCCCTGACTTGGATGGCCTGGGCTAACCCAGTCTCGTTAGCGCTTTGAAACGAATCAGGGTCAGTCCTTGTTAGTACTTGGACAGAACAACACCAAGGAAGTCCAGGGTTGCTACACAGAGGCACTTGCCACCACCAAGGTCTTAGAGAACATTACAAAGTCAGCATTATGGAGATGACAAGAATGGAACAGATAGATTTCCCTACGCAGGCCAGAGAGGATGTCGCGGGCAGCAGCTAGAAAGGTTCTGTAATGGCTGTCACCAATCTGGAATGGGTCACCTTGGGAGAGCCCAGAGCACCCACCCTACCCCTTTATACACTCCTTTTCCAGCAGGTTCCCCCTTATAAGTGACCAAATGAGGCATGAAGACCCAGGCAGAGTAACAAACTATTCTTATTAAAGAGATTTAACAGCAACTATAACTCCAGGGCTATTTTGGGGCAGGAACGCACAGGAACGGAGTTCCGGCTGGCTCCCGAGTTGGTCACGCCCAGCAGGAACTCATTAGCATAATAGGCCACACCCAACAGCAGAAACCCATTAGGATTGGCTAATTAGGGGTGTGTGGCCTAACATGCAAAGGAGTTCCTGCTACAAAAAAAGCCCTGGGTTTTGACAATAAAAAAAAAAAAGTAAACAGAATAAGAAGCAAAAGGTGGGTGTGGCTGGATGACCACACTTCTGGTAACATGGGGGTGTGGCCTAATATGCTATTGAGCTGTGCTGTCAGGGGTGTGGCCTATTATGCTAATGAGTTCCTGTTGGGCTTTTTCTACAAATAAAGCCCTGTATAACTCAATAAAATGGAGGAAAAATGAACACAGTAAAGGTAGGTAAACCAGCAAAATAAGAAACCCTAAAGCACCTGACTATACTGTACCTACCCTTTTCTAGGTATTTGGCCTTCAGCTGATTCACCCCTTTTGGATGAGGGTTCCCTCCCTTTGCAGCAGCTTCACATTAGCTCTGCTTCCTAGGAGTGAACCTCCTCCCACTTTGGGCAAGGACTTTTATCTCTTCTACCAGGGTTCCCATTCTCCCAACGGGGCAGGGGTTTGCCTGCTTTCACGGCCCCTGATCCGCCGGCCCTGATTTGGCTGGCGGGGGAACCTAACCCTCAAAGTGTCTTGTTTGCGCCAACGTGCCTGGCGCAATGTCACCCAGAGGTGATGTCATCGCGCTGGGCATGTTGTGGGGGGATGCTAGATGGTTTAAGGAAAAACCATAGAATATTTCCTTAAACAATAGAGCATCCCCTGCAGCATGCCCTGTGTGATGATATCACTTCCGGGTGATGTCATCGTGCCAGGCATGTTGCAGGGGGGATGGAATGCTAGATTGTTTAAGGAAAAACCATAGAGTTTTTCCTTAAACGATACAGCATCCCCTGCAATGTGCCCTGTGTGATTATGTCACTTCACTTCTGGGTGATGTCATCGTGGTGCACGTGCCAAAGAGGTCCCAGAGAAGGACCAGGACCCCCCCACACACACACACTGGCAGCCAGGTAAGACCTGGCAAACCTATCTTCTACCCAGGCAACACCCTTTACTATTCTACTGGTGTAAGTTTCCCCTCCAAATCCCGTTAGCCATTTACAGGATCCGAAGGGTGACCTGGGAAATGTAGACCAATAGCCACTCTAGTACAGGGTTCTCTGGAGCCGCTAGGCCTCCCCAGAGCCTGTAGGCCACACTATTATGGACCTATGATCATGACAGAGGGTCTCAAAGGCTTAAGGTCCCTGCTTAACACGCTAAACAACACTTTCCATCACCACTCGAGCCTAAGTTGCCAACCTACAGATGAAGTGGAAATCCAACAACAACAACCATGACAAAAATAACAGTCAATAAAGATATGTTGCAAAATCATTTACTGTAGTAATTCTGTAGAAAATTCTCTTCTATTATCGCTTGCACGCTAACGAATGCTGCGCAATGTAAACAATTCGTTTCACAATATTTGCTTTATCTGAGTGTGTGCACCAAAAAAACCCAACACCACTAGGCAAAAACAACTTCCAAGCAAATAAGCAAGTATATAATGATCAAATAAGCATACAGCAAGTGTAATGTAAATCAAATAAGCAAGTATGATATAATGAAATGTAAATCAAAGAAGCATAACAACAAGTATGATATAAATCAATAGGCCAAAGTGCAAAGATAATAGAAACAGTCAGAGTCTTCTCTAGCATAGAGGCAATATCAAAGTCCAAATTGGAATAATCAAATTTTCTGAGCCATCAAAAGCTTCTGAGCCATCAAAAGCCGACGCGTAACCTCCAGATGAAGTCTGGAGATATCCCAGAATTACAACAGATACCAAATGACAGATATCAGTTCCCCTAAGATGGCTGCTTTAGAGGGTGGATTCTGTGGCCTTATACCCCACTGAGGTTAGTGTTGGCATCTTGTAACAGTGGCAATGACTTGGATTCTGTCTAAAATTTTCAGACATGCAAGGGAAGGAGGGAGGGCAATGTGAATAACAATACAAACTCTCCCTAAATGGACTTATGCAGAAGTTGCCAATTCCAGCAGCAGCCCAAAGTGCCCAACCCAAATGCTACACCTGGGGGAGGGGTCCGTCAAGAATAGCTAGGAGGAATCGGAGGTCTCTTGCAGGAGGGGGGAAATTGGCAGCAATCACTCCCTCTCACGTGCACAGAAATTCTGAGGAGGAACTAAGTCTAAGAGCATTTCTAAGTGGGGCTTTTGCTCTCAGGATGGCATTATTAATCTCGTGGAGAGTCAGAAGTGACACAGTTAAAAGGCAAGGCCCATTCCTTCCTTCTGAGGAGGAGCAAAATGCCACCCACCTCTGCTCTCTGCTTCTATTGTGTCCAGCCAAGAGGCAAGCACCAGAACTGAACAGTGCTGACATTGTTGCACGTTTCATAACCAGCAGGACTAAAATCTGTGAGGCAGTTTAAGCTTTGGCTGCTACCAGAATTCCAAAACTGAATGGACTTGATGCTTTCAGAGCAAACCAGTCAAGCATACTGGGCCAGAGAACATCCTATTCCAATGTTGTTTGGCACACCAAGGTGGCTCCCTGCCTGGAGATTTCAGAGCACCCACAATGGTTTTGCTGTTTGTTTTGAACACATCTATCTTGTGCCCTTTCTACTGTTAGTGTAGTATTCAAGGCACCTTGAAAATCAAAAGGCTGTAATACACATATAGCAAGGTGGGATAAAATGAAGACTTCCACTGAGTTATGCAGCTGGGGTGTGAACCTGGCAACTTTCTAGCTTCACAATTTGCACAATGCTGTAAATTGATGGGCTTCTTCACCCAGGTTTTCAGGCAGGCCTATTTTTTTTAAGTGGCATGTGAAGGTGTGGTTGTTTAGAAACCCACATTTCACTTTTTTAAAAAAGGAATAATTTCTTTTTGTTGAAAAAGAGAATGTCTGATGGACAAAGAAGAAGAAGAGAAGAAGACCCTGAAGGGGGCAGCAAGAGGACAATTATTTTATTTATTTATCAAATTTGTTAATCCCCCAATCCCTGCAGTGCAGGGCTCTGGGTGATGTGCATCATTCCTAAAAACACCAAGATAAAACGATTAAAACATTAACAACATATTTCAAACAAGAAGATGGTGTATATTAATTGGTCCCATTTCAGACTGCTGGCCGCTTTGCGGGCAGGGGAGAGGAGGGCAAAGCAGATATGAGAAGCAACTGGAGCAGAAAGGATAGGAAAGTGAAGTCATCAGCACCTTTTAAGTGCCATTCTTTGTCTGTCCCCGGAGTGCTGCTTCTTAAGGCACTTTTCTCCTTCTTGTCCAGAGTTCGTCTCTCTCTCTCTCTCTCTCTCTCTCTCAGAAAGAGATGTAGTTAGGAATCTGTCTCTCTCTCTCTCCTCTTTACTATCAGGTATGTTCATTTCTAAATAAACCTTTATCTACTCTTTAATCAGCTTGTGCAGCCTTGTTGTGTTAATTACTCTGCCAATAGGGGTTATGGGCCTAGATTAAGCACATCTCTGATTATAGAAAGATCACCAGAGGTTCTTTGGCATGAGCAGGTGAGGACAAAGGAACAAAGATGGCGACCTCCTGTGGTGCACAGCATGGTCACTGTACTGATAGGTTCATGGAGAGCAACTATCCAATTTGGAGAGAAAGAATGAAGACCCATCTCATTGAAAGAGGCTTGTGGACTGTTGCCCAGAATGACCGCCCAGCTGATGGTGCTGAGCAACAGGGACACCAAGAATGACTAGGCAAGATGTGCTATTGTCAAAGGTTTAACAGACAGACAGGGATTTAAGGGTCATTAAGATGCCAGCTGCTAAGGCTGTCTGGGATGAATTGCAGAGGATGCATGTAAAATCCTTCTTAAAGAGCCATCTCTGTCTTCAGAAACACTTATGACTTATTTCTATTTCCAGTTCATTGTATCTGAAGAAGTATAAATGCACACGAAAGCTCATATCTTGAATAAAATTTTGTTGGTCTTAAGGTGCCACTGGACTCAAACTTTGTTCTTCAAAAATGCTTGTTTAGCATAAGAATGCAGGAAGGTGGGAACCTCTGACAGCATCTTGACAAAATGCTGGAAATAGCTGAGCTATTGAGAGCTGCAGGAAAGGAAATTCCAGATGCAAAAAAAGAGGTGTGGCTATATATGTGAAACATCATCTTCAACCTGAACTGTTGTTTGAGGCAAAAGATGGAAGAATTTTAATAGTAAAGATCAGAAGGCAAAATAAATCTGCAATGGTAGTTAACATCTACGCGCCGAATGAAATACAGTTTCTTGAACTGTGTCTAAGAATGATTTGTCGCTCATTATCAATCAGTTGGAGGATGCCAACTCAGCCAGTGAATTCATAAAATCTGAATGCAAATCTGAGAAATCAGAGAGTAGCCAAATGGCTTTGAATATAAATGACAAAGGTGAGAAAATTTGCTACCTCTGTGGGAAATGAGGGCACATTAGGAGGAATTGTTCTAATGTTAACCAGAGAAAGGCCTTTCCCAAAGCAAAAGGGGTAATGACAACTTTTATTGATTACTCAAGATACACTGTGATGTACCTATTTAAAGAGAATAGTCAAATGCTAGAAAAAAATTAAAGTATATGTGGCAATGGTCAGTAAGAAATTTTGAGGAAAGCCATTAACAATCCACACTGATAATGGAGGGGAATATATGGGACATGAGATGAAGAATTATTTGACTGAACAAGGAATAGAACATCAGTCCCATGCAATCCAGAGCAGAATGGTGTAGCAGAAAGGAAAAACCACTCTCCCACTGAAACATCTAGATGTATGCTTGAGGCAGAGCTACCTGAGAAGTACTGGGGAGAAACAATCAACACTGGTACCTACCAGCAGAACAAATTACCTACCGAAGGTGCAAGTAGTACACCATTTGAACTGCAGTATGAGAGCACAAACCCAGCCTGAATCATCTAAAAGTGTTTGGATCAAAGACCTACACTTACATTCCTAAAGAAAAGCAGACCAATATGGATCTTAAAGCAGAAGGCATTTTTGTTGGCTACGCACTAGCATGCAAAGGATACAGAAACCTCAACCTCAATGTGGTCTGCATTGATGAAAGGGAGAAATCAAGCAACATGAAAAGGAGATATCAGTGAATCTACACCAACAGAGAAAAATGAAGCACAGCGAACAGAAACAGTGCAATTGAGCACAATGGACAACACACACTTTTTCTTTAATTTTTTTTATTGAATTATAAAGTTAGAAGTTAGAGTAGTCAAACAATTAACAGTTATATAGAATATACAATTCCAAAAACATTTCAACCACATTAACAATTGAAATAAACAATTAAAATCAGTATAAGTGCCCATTAGAACTATTATTCTATTGCCATTGATGTGATGAAATTAACCATTAAAGCACTATCATTAAAATCTTGCTTTTTAAACTTCCACTTCAAAAAGGGAGCCCATTTTTTAACAATATATGAATCCTCTGTCTGTTAATCTGAATTCTGTATATCGTCCGATATTTTGTCCATAATAAAATAGTCCCATGACTTAATATACCAGGAGTGGACTGTGGGAGGGTTCTTTTCTGTCCACTTTAAAGCTATACAAATTTTTGCTGCCAAAGCCATCATCATAATAAGTTCTTTCTTAATTTTAGACATTTTAAAATTTTCCCATAAATTCAATAAAATCAAATCTGGAGCTTCTGGAATTAAGATTTGAGTTATACTAAAAAACTGCAACACAATTTGTTCCCAGAATGCTTTAATAACTTTACATATCCACCAGTTATGTATAAATGTCCTCTTGTGTCCACATTGTTTCCAACAATTTGGAGAAATTAAAGAAGTAGTATGTGACAAGCAAGCAGGAGTTAAGTACCATCTGGAAATCACTTTATATGATGCACCTGATGAAATCTTCACAGCAGTGGTGAGATATACTTCAATAAGAATGCTCTAGAGCATAGCAGCTGCAAGGAAGGTGCATGTGGAGCATCTGGACATGAAGACTGCTTTTCTCCATGAAGAAATAAAGGAAGATGTTTACATGGAACAGCCACTAGGATTAGAACAATCCAAAGACAAGCAGCTTGTGTGCAAGCTGCAAAAGAGCATCTATGGGCTGAAACAGACTACAAGATGTTGGAATGGGAAACTTCATCAAATTTGGAAGGATTTGAGCAAGGCAAGGGAGAATGTTGCCTATATTCAAGATATAGAGACAACAAATGGACTAACACTTATGTGGATGACCTATGATTAAATAGTTCAGCATCTGAATCAAGAAGTAGAAGTGAAACAATTAGGAAACATCAACTACTGTCTTGGAATACAAAAAAGATGGAAGCTATCTTCTCAATCAGAAGCAGAAAAGCCTAGAATTGCTGGACTACATGAATATGAAAGGAGCTAAACCAGCAAACACTCCTGTGGAAACCAGCTACTCGAGCCAGCAAGGATGTAGTGAACTTCTGCCTGACAACGAGCAATACAGAGAAGCAATTGGAAGACTGCTGTATGTAAGCATATTAATGCATCCTGGTATCACAGCAACCGTTGGCATGTTATGCACCATGCAAAAGGGACTAGAATGCAGTCAAAAGACTTGCAAGGTACCTGCATGGCATTGCACATCTGAAACTAGAGTTACCAACAAGTGACAATCCCAGACTGGTGGGATACATGAATGCAGACTGGGCAGGAGATACTAGACAGTAAGTCAACTAGTGGACGTGTATTCTTCTGCGGTGGTGGAGCAGTCAGCTGGGGCAGCAGGAAGCAAGAAACTGTAGCTGTATCCTTAACTGGAGCTGAATATTTATTCGCAGCAGAAGCAAACAGACAACTGAAATGGATACTGCAGCTAACACAAGACTTTGGGATAGAGGAACCCAAACCAGTACAATTTTTTGAAGACAACTAAGGGTTCATAAAACTTGCACAAATGGAGATCAACTCAAGAACTAAACACATGGATGTGAAGCATCATGTAAGAAACATGCAAGAAGAAGGGCTTGTTAAACTAGAATACTGTCTTACAGATGAAATGATTGCAGATGCACTCACCAAGCCACTTTCTTGAGAAAAATTTGAAAGTCTACGTAAGAAGATGAATCTTGTGGACTTTGTACACTAGACCTTGAGAAGGACTGTTGGAAAAGACAATGTCTGGTGTACAGTGAAGAAGACCCTGAAGGGGGCAGCAAGAATTAGCTAGGATAGTGAAGTCAGCACATTCGCTTCTTTTAAGCGTTATTCTTTGTCTGTCTCCAGATTGCTGCTCTTAGGGCAATTTCCTCCTCCTTCTCAGAAGTTCCATACTGAGTCTCTCTCTTTCAGACAGAGGTGTAGTTAGGAACCTATCTCTGTCTCTCTTCCTTACTATCAAGTATATCAGTTCCTAAATAAACCTTTATCTACTCTTAATCAGGTTGTGCACTGTAATTGTTGCTGTTTATTATTCTGCCAACAGTCATTTGAGAAACTGACCAAAATGGTTGACATATTGACTAGTGCAGTTGTGACATCAGAAACTCACTTCTCCAAATCAGAACTGGGGAGAAAGTATGTAATGCCACAGGTACTAGCCAATAAGTTCTTCATAGTTCCAAAACAACTCCCCACCCCCTAAGAGATCAGTCTTGAAGAGGAAAAGGTACCTTTGAACTGAATACGGTGAAGCCACTTCCAAAATGGCCAACCATCCTATAACGGTTACCTTTTTCTTCATCCTAAATAAATGTTGGTAGTTTTATATATGCGAACCTGCATAGTGTCCTAAAATCTTTCTTTTTGGTAAGCTATGCCTACAAATTCTCTTCACTTGTCCTTACTGGTTTTGCCTTCCAGAGCATTTAACTCTATTTCCACCATCTTTGCATAGGAACAGAATAAAAGTCCTACTGGATCAGACAAGTGGTCTATCTAGTCCAGCATTTTGTTTCCTATAGTGGCCAACCAGCTACTACGGAAAGCCGAACTAACAGGGCATAGAGGCCAAGGCCTCCCTGATGTTGCCTCCTGGTGCTGGTATTCAGAGGTTTACTGCCTCTGTATATGGAGGCTCCCTTCAGTCACCATGACCACTGATGAACCTATTCCTCCATGAATTCTCTGCTTCCCAGGGCTATCACTACATCCTCTGGCAGCAAATTCCTCATTTTAGTCACCCATTGAGTAAAGGCATATTTCCTTTTTGTTCATCCTGAATCTCCTGCCCATCAGTTTCACTGGATGCTCCATGAATTCTAAAATTTTGGGGGAGGGCAAAAAAGTTCTCTGTCCACTTTCTCTACCCCCTGCATAACTTTATAAACCTCTATCATGGCCCCACTCCCTTTCTAAATGGACAAGTCCCAGACTTTTCAGCCTTTCCACATAGGAAGGGAGCTCCAACCCCTTAATTACACATCCTCCACGAATGTGGTTGGGATACAGCATCCAACAGATGTCTTGTTGTCAGGGGTCGTTTCGTAGAAAAAGAGCTAGGGGGACTCATTAACATAACTCATTAGCATATGCCACACCCCCTGACATCACCAGAAGTGTGTAATAAGGCCACACACCCTGACATCACCGGAAGTGTGTCATAAGACCACACACCCTGCCCCCAACGGTCCCGGCCGCCGCCGTCGGCCTTGCAGCTCCACTGCTGAGCCCCATGAGGGGCCCAGCGGTGGACCTGCAGGGCCAGCAGGAGTGCGAGGAAGTCCCGCAAAGGCCCTCCCTGGCCCCAGGCAGGCAGGGGTGGGGAGAGGCAGGGAGGAAGCAACTTACCCTCCCTCTTCTCCTGCCTCCTCCTGGCTGAATGAGGGCCGGAAGCAGGGGGCGGGGCTTCGTCATGTGCCCCGCCCCCCGTACCTCACCCGGGGGGACTGCGATCCCCCGTGAGCCCCCCCCGAAATGACCTCTGCTTGTTGTTGCTGATCAGGGCGGGGCAGGAGCTGCTCAGGTCTGGAAATTTGCTCCCTCAAACGCAACTTAAAACAGCCCCAGTCTCATTCAAAGCACTCTCTTCTCTTCCCTCCAGCTCCTGACCTTCAACGTCACAGCCTCCGTCTTGTATGCCACGGCTTTTGTGACGAGCGCCACGTCCGTTGAGCTTTACTCCTGGCCTCATTCACCGGACTACAACAGAAGAGCTGCTGCCTCGGTAGGTAACCGTTTGCAGCCGCCTCTCCTTCCACTGGCCTCCATCCCTGCTGTGCTCGGAGGTTACTCATCCGGTCGCCTGGCTCTTCCTTTCAGGTGACCCTGTTTGCCCCAACAGCCTTCCCGTCCCTGCTGCCATCTGCACAAACAAAACTGGGCTGGCTTTCTGGACAGCGCTTGTGTCCTTGTTCAGAGTTGGCCGTGCCAGCAATGAGCTAAGACTCTGTAATTGGAAGAGCAGCTGGAACGACATCATGCATTCCTCCTCTTCCCCCACCCCGATACGTGACTCCCTACCTCTGTGCCAGCCCCGAGATACCCATAGTGCTTCTCTTTTTGCCATAAAGATGCAACCTCCTGGGTTGTTTTTTTTAAGGGGGGGAATAAGGTACCTTTTTAGTTTCATTGTCTTAAGATGCCTGGTTTTTCAGCTGCAGGGTCCTTCCTCTTAGTACCAGGCATACTGCTGTTACCGATAAACTGGGTGCATTTGATTCTTTGAGGTGAGGTCATGGCTAAGTGGTAGAGCATCTCCTTTCCATGCAGAAGTTCCCGGGTTCTATCCGCAGCATCTCCAGTTGAAAAGATCAGATAGTAGTCTGATGGGAAAGATCTCCATCTGGAGGCCTGGCACCTCTTAGCGTCAAGAAGACTGACCTTTCCTGCATTGTGCAGGGGGTTAGACTAGATGATCCTTGAGGTCCCTCCCAGCTCTATGTTTCTGTGATGGACTAAGGGTCCCAGTAATAGGCAGTTTCCTGTGATCTTGGAGGTGGATGTGAAACTTAGCCCACATAATCCAGACTTGTATGGGGGGGGGGCAATCCTAGAAGAAACAAAATCCCAAGAAGCATGTTCTCTCAATCCACAGATACATCCTGTAAGTGGAAAGAACATTGATCCAATGCACACCACCTAAATGAAACCCTTCTGTTTGATAAAATATCTAAATTAATATAGACGAATTCCATGCAAAGCTCCTCTGGTCTAAACCCATCAAAATCAGCATTCTTAGGCTGGAGGAACTCTGCAAGTGAATGCACTGGAATGAAAGATCACCTGTCAGAACAGTAAAGCAAAAGCAATTTGACTAGCCAGAAGGACAGTCTTTGATATTTTCTACAACACAACACTTCTGTGGAAAACATTCCTCTGTTGCCTGTATCTTTAAGGGATCCAGGAATTTAAGGAATCATGGATTATACTTGCAAAATAGAGGCCAATGCCTTGGTTTCAGGGTCTTGTCCATCTTCCAGGGAAGTAGGACATGATTCTCCCTTCCCTTCATGAGGCAGGCTAGGTGGATAGGTCCTAGGGCCAAAAGATAATTTATTTATTTATATTTATTTATAATTTCAATTTATAGCCTGCCCTCAGGGCGGCTCACAGATAATGAATGTGACATGAGTGCAGTCAACGGATGCCCCAACTCGGCTTGTAGATGCACGTTGTGTTGGGGACTAATGTTCCCAAGTGCTCTAGGGCCAGTTCAACTTGGGAGCACAGCACAGGGGGAAGAGGGGCTTGAGTGGTCCCACACTGTTTTCCTGAGCCGAGCCGAATCGGGTCCTGGTGTGCTTAGGAATGTTAACTCCCAGACACCATGTATGTTTGCGAGTTGCGAATTCCACAACCCAGTATGGGTTACACGTACTGTCTAGTCTGGCCCCTGGTTTTCAATTTAAATGTCAACATGCTATCTGAAAAAATGCTCCTGGCTATTTTGCTCCAACTTTTTCTCATTGTCCTCAGTTGTGTGCACATCCTTCTTACTTCCTAACACTTTGACAAGCTTCTTCAATCCCCCTTTGTATCCTCTCCATAAGTATTCCCCGAAATTGTTCAACAAATATTTCTCCAATTTCTATGTTTCCCTCCAGCTCCTCCTGCTCTTCAGTATCCTCTCAACACGCCATTATCCTTTTTTCTATTATTCCCCCCCCCAAAAAAGAGAGAAAGTGCATATACCATCAACCATAAAGCCCCCTGCTCCAAAACTCTCTACAGGAGTTCTGGTGAAGTTCTCCCCGGCTGCCAGGAGGCTTCAAAGAGAGCGGGAAGGGATCGGGCAGCTCGGAGCAAGCTGCGAGCCGCCTGTCGCTGCGCCGCCGCAGTTCTCCGCAATTCCTTGCTTTCGAACTGCTAGGTTGGCAGAAGCTGGGACCAGAGACTGGAGCTCACTCCGTCATGCGGCACTCGGGTCTCAAACTGCTGACCTACCGACCTTCCAGCCTGCAGTTCAGCATCTTAACCACTTGAGCCACCGCATCTCCCTTCTCATGTAGTACATTTCTTAAAACCCCCAAAAAACACTATTGAAAATTTTCCCCGTGTATTTCCATCCTGTGCGTTAAGAGTCCAGATCATCTGGAAGGGTTCCCGGGGACAATCGATAGCCCACTAAGAATCCCAGCCCAGTGGGTTCTCCTGTAACTGCTGAGACAACTGACGTGTCGATTCCTTATTCTTTGCAGTTCTTTGCTTGCCTGGTGATGATCATCTATGGCGTCAGTTCCTGCCTCAGCTTCCGAGCCTGGAAAGGATATGGAGGCAATGCAGCAACCAGTCAAGCCACGATTTCTAATCATGCCTAAGAACTGTGGCCCATTCTGAATCAACGTGGGACAGTGGGACAGCTCCGCGGCAGGGCAATGGCTAACGGGGCCTTGGAGTTCTCTCTTGCCCCCTCCTGCTTCCTCATCCAGATCTAGTACAGCCTGTACACTCTTCCTGGCCCCGTCTTTAGCATGGCCTGAGCCACAGATGCATATGTTTTAATGCCATCTAAACCTAGATAAGTACCTCTCCCTACTTTTTACTAATTGGCTCCAGACGCCAGTCCATGGAGAACGAGATCCTCTCCTCCTGCCTGGCAAGAGGTCACCTTCAGCCTAGTTCACATAGGCATGCTTGGTTTCGTGCACGTGAACGGGCCACCCCAGACCTATCAGCCAAAGAACTTGTGCATCACCTGTTACGCCTGTCATGATGCTTTTTGCACACTGCAGCTCATGGCTGAATGCAAGAAGCATCAGAAAGCATTGCGCTGGAAGCGGCACCAGCAAAACAGGGCAGTCCCAGCAGCGGGGTTAAATCTGGGATGGCTAATTCATACGAGCAGGCTCCCCTCAAATGGTAAGCTCTCCAGTGTGAACCATCCCTCAAGTTTCCTGCTTTCCCAAACCTCCTCAATTTTCCAGAGCAGGCCAACAGGATTGGAGCAAAAGTGTATTTAGGCCCACATCCATAGAGGTGTGGTACCTTGGAATGCCCACTACCAAGGCACCCTGGCAACGTTCTTTTCCCCCTTATGCTGTCTCCTAGCCCAGCAAATGGTGCTCAGAGGCATGCACAGAGTGTGCCTGCACAATGGTTGAGGGGCGGCTGCCGCATGTGTGTGCCACAATGAAAAGCCCTCGAAGGGCAACGCTGGAAGCAAAATGTAAATTCTTAGTGACATTGGATGGGGGTGGCCCGTTTCGGCAGGCCTCTGTGAATTAGCCCAGAGGATTCCCATCTCCAGGCATGATCGAGCCAGCACTAAACCCACTAAAACAAGCAAGCCCGTCCTCCCCGGAGGCCAGCCGCCTGCAGCCTCTGGTGTAAATAATGTATCATTAACTCAGTGTGTGTAGTACTTAGAAGGGATGACACACAGCTTTTCGATGCAATTATACAGCAAGTATTTTTATTTTATTATGATTTCTAAAAAAAAAAAAATTGGAAAGACGGTTCTGTTTTAAATTAAAAGTATCTAAAATCCATCACTCGTTTTTGTCAGAGCTCCGTTACCTCTTTTGCATGGCTGCAGCACCGTCTGTGGCTGTTTAATGTTGTTCTGCGTGGGCCTGCTCTTTCTCTTTTTAAACACATGGATAGTACCAGCTGTGATCTGGGCACTCTGCATCCCTCTTGCGCTCTGTGAGCGTACCATTGGGTAGCAAGCACACCACAGACAGCTGCTGTGGAATTTCTGCTTTCATTTGTGGGCAAGTTTTTAGTCCTAATTGTGGGGATAAACTGACATTTCAGAAGACAGCCTGGAATTTGTGGGCAAAGTTTTACCAGCCTCCCAGCTGTTACAACTTCTGGCCTATTGCCTTTCCCTCTAACCAAGCAGCATGATGCGCACTACCTCGTTCTCTGAGGAAACGCCGCTGTTAGATCCCACCATCTACTGGACTATGCAGAGGAGACAGGCTTGTGTACTTTTTCCTAAGTGGAATTTCATAGCAAGTACAGCTTCTTAGTATTGTGGACTTCATGTGCAAAAAGTCTATACAACCAGTGAAAGTCCAGGAGCTCAGTCACCCTAAATGGACAGGGAGGAATGGATGGCAAACCAGGAGCAGATGCAATCACAGCTAGTGACACTCTGCAGCTAAATGATAAGGAAAGCTGGGACACAAATGTGGTACTGAAAGATGAGCTCCCTCTGGGATGGAACACTCCGCCCACGGTCAAGCATGCACCTTTGCTGAGAATAATTCTCAAGGACAATTAAAAGTTAAACACACTTTCCTCATTGCAGATTGATTGCATTTCAGAAGTGAATATCAAAAGGTATGCAAATGATTAGGCAATACAGCATTTTGGCTGGTCCTCCCCTATCCTGCATTCAAAAAGACAACAGGAATGTCTTGAAACAAATTGTTTAATTCAGCTCAAACAAATACACATTTTTAGTGTCTCTAGCTGGTTTCCTTAGCTAAGAGCATAGCTCTTTGCTTGATGTGAAGCTAACTTTGACGGACTACACACTTGGAACACGATTCATAGAAGTCATGCCAGCATCCACACCAGGATTCCCAATGGCCAGTTCTTCTCTGCTCCCTCCAAGGATGCATTTAAAACTACGGCTGATGCTTTCTGCCCATACCAAAATTAATACAATGCACCTGAGCTATTGGGCGTGGGGGTGCTTAAAAAGAGGACAAGTCCTTTCCTCAGGTACCTCAAAGCATTACTGCCAAGAGGGTAATGAATACAATGCTTTTGAAAGCAAGCCGGCACTTGTGCCAACAGAAGAGAGACGAGGGAAGTGGGGGTCTGGAAGGTCAGGATCCCTGGGGGTCTATATTCTGATCAGCATCAGCATTGGATGTTGGCTGCTCCCATAAATACTGTACTTAGATGAAATCATGGGTTACCAACACTCTTTTAGAACTAATTACTTGCTTATTTTAACTTTTAAAAGACTGCATGATGATACAAGAGCACCTTCCGTTAAAGGGATACCTCATTTTTACATATTCGTTTGCAAGAATGATCAACAGGCGATATGAAGATGACAACTGGTCTCTTTTGACATGTATGGTTTGCCTCAGATCTAAGAGCCACATTTCAGATTGTCCTGAAAACTTTACTGAACACAACCATGAAGGAGAACTGCTGCAACACGAACAGAGTTTTCATTATGATTTTAAACTCCAGTGGTGCTTGCTACTTTTCTTCCCAAGATTCATTCCAAACCAAGGATTTGCCAGACAGGGACTGCATCTGAACTAAAGATTTAAAACACAAGAAGAATGGAACTAAACCTGTGCCCCAGCTACTACCAAAGAAATAATTTTTTTTGTTGGAAGGCTCCATTATACTATAAAGACTCCACAAAACTATAAGCCAGCTGTTTATAGTTTTGGCCTCATTCCCATTATACCTTTTTTGGGGGGTCAGGAATGGCAGGCACACACATATGGGGGGGTTACCTAGTACCACTATATTGCCACACACTGAATGAAGCCAGTCTAGAATAAAGGCAAGCCACATGTGCAAGATTTGAACCACTAGTATCCTGTTTTTTCTTAATTCCTTAGTTTGTAGTATGGCACAATTCAAAATGGTGGCAGTTGGCCTATCTGCTTCAGCAGTTGCTCCACAGACCCCCTGGTGAGGTAAAGCAGGCATTGAGGGGTGTGTCTGAATCCAGCCAACCCAACACTACTAATGCATATTATGATCAGGTGACTTGGTTCAGCTACTGACACAGAACGGAAGGCCCTGATCAGGGGACTGTTTCCACTGGAGTACAGGCCAGATTCCCCAAAGATTCAGCAAAGATACACCCCCAAATGGAATTTTCTCCATGCAATTTTCTTTTTTCAATCTCAGAAAAATCTAACACTGATAAAAATGTGAAAGCCACTGACACAGAACGGAAGGCCCTGATAAATGTCAGGGGACTGTTTCTACTGGAGTACAGGCCAGATTCCCCAAATATTCAGCAAAGATACACCCCCAAATGGAAAATTCTCCATGCGATTTTCTTTCTTTTTTCAATCTCAGAAAATCTAACACTGATAAAAATGTGAAAGCTCATAGTTAATTTATCTAATCATTCTTCCAACAGATCTGACCCAGTTTAAAACAAGCTTAGCTGCCATCATTTTCCTAATGAAATCTTGGAGGTTTTGGAGGTTATCAAAGTTTCTGGATCCTTCACTCACCAATTCCTAAAATTGCTCTAGAGAAGCCATGAGCTTCAATGTAGCACAGAGAGATATCTCGACAACAAACCTAAGCTGGGATGAGCTATCACAACCTATCACTATGGAACCTGGGGAATTGTATTTTTATGAAAAACGCAGCTCCCTCCCTGGTGGTTGAACCAGTTTAAAACTGTAGCACAGACCTGCCCTATGTGGTCGCACCATAGAAACACATTCTTTGCTAACATATATACTGTAAGTAGTACAAAAATGTGGTGTGACGCTTCTGAGGACAGAGGGGGGGAAATAATATCGCATTTCAATAAAATGGTTACTTTTGCAGCTCAGGTGAGGACCTGAGTTCTAAAGATACAGGACCGTTAACGGGAGGGACACACATCCACAGCTACTATAAAATAAAACGGGTAACAACTTCATGCTATATATACATGTATATATATGTATTCATGGCAAACACACACACTTCCTGTTAACAGTCAAAATTTGGTATTTGCAGCCATGATGAAAATGCTTTGGCCAGAGCAGCCGCAGTTCTCAGGACCTGCCAGGGATGCGCAGTTTGAACCATCCAACCCACGACAGGTTCAGGATGCCCCTTCTGTTCCTCTTGGCCCATGATGGAGAAGCACCTGATGAAAGCCAGCTGCCCTCCAACAGATCATCAGTAAAAATCCAATTTGGCTGATACAGAGCGGATCTGAGAGCTATCAGACTATGGTTCTAACCAGGACAGAGTTATTCTAGTTCCTGATCATTCGGAAACAAACATCAGTTCAAACAAGTGGCTGAGAAAACCAGGCCTGCCATAATGGCGGGTGCTTCAATGACCTGGGCCACTGTTCTTGTCTCAACTGCTGCCTTCTGTGGTCCCAACGTCCCAAGCTAAGACACTCTTGCTTGGGGGCCACAGCTAGTGGCGCAGGCTGTTCTGTGAAGGAGATACAGAAGATTTGCTCAAAGGTGTCACCACGAATCCGCCACTCAAGTCAAGACCTCGGCCTTCTTTTTCCTGGAGGCAGAAGAGAAAGTGAATACAGAACACCTCAGTTTTGTGGTATTTCAAAATGCTTCTGTTAGAAAAGGAACTGTGATCAAAATGAACGCTTTTATCTGCTAGAATTTAGGGAAGAAGGAATTCTACATGGAACCTGCTGCATGTAGTGGAACCAGAATGTTAACATTCAGTAAAAATATATGATTTTAGCTGCTATAGATGCAGAACGAAGTTGTTCAGGGTGGTGAAAATCAGTGAGGATTGCAGAATGGGACACCTTCCAGCTTCAGATTTTTCATAGGGCATGATGAACCTGTGGGATCTGGGGTCATTTCAAGTGCTGGTTATCCGGACAAAATCTTTTTTTTAGATGCACATGACACTTCTGAACGTTTAGAGAGAGTGCGACATGGTGTCCATTTTACTGAACTCCCAGTCCGTCGCCTTCCGGATTTTCTGAGTAAGATTCTAGAGTGAAACTCACATGAAACTGACACACATTATGGATCTTAAGACATGGTCCTTAACAGGTAAGCAGATAAATTCACTGTTGGCTGAATTTACAGATGCCTGGTTTACACACTAAAGATGCAGTCTCCCATGCAGTTACTCCAACCTGAGCCCAGAGAGAGAGATCTCGTTCTCCATGGAGATTTTGCCCCCACCTCAGCCTCCTGACCCATGTGGCTAGCCGTTAGCAGTGGAAGGACCGCTGGCTCCAGCTCCTTGAATGGTGTAAGTAATCCGAGCAGCGGGATGGAGCTGCTTGACCATTTGTTCAGCTCTCGGGCCTTAAAAACCCTTCCGGGCTTCTGACAATCCAGAGCTCTTTGATCAGACAGCTTTGGCACTGCCTCCTGAGACAAAGCCCATGGACTCAGGTCCTTAAGCACAGCCAGCATGCCCAGAGCTCGTCATCTGCCAGCTGCTGGTTCCTGGAGGGGAAGTTGGGGCTCCAGGAAGGAACCAGAAGACAGCTCATGACGCAACTGCCACTTGGCACCTGGAGTTTGCTGAGCTGTGTGTTAGGGACTTCCATATTTTTCTGAATAAAGTTTCTAGAGTGAAAAAACCCCATGTGAAGCTAACAAGCAAGTATCCCTACTCACTGGTACAGATCTGAAGACACAGTTCTTAATAGCTAAGAGGATATCAGGAGCACCAGCAGACGGAAGCCTCATCTGGAGATATTGTGCAAATCACTTTTCAGGAGAACCAACAAATGGGTTAGGGCTGGCTCAGACGCTAGACACAAACTGCTTCACATGTGCAGCTGTCTTAGTGTGAGGAAAAGGCCAAACAGGATAATTTTGGATCTAACTGTGGATTTAAAATTAGGGTTCTGGGTTTCACAATGTGAGAACAGGAAAGGAGCTATTGTTTGGTGACAGAGTACCTGCTTTGCATGCAGGAGATCCCGGGTTAGAAGCATCTCAGGTGGAAAGTTCTAGGAAAGACCTCTCTCTACCTGAGGCCCCAGAGAGCTGTTGCCGGACACATTATGGATTTATGCTCTGTATAAGGCAGTTTACTATGTTCAGCATGCCTCCCAAGTGTTGGAGTACTCACGGCTCTGTAATCCAGGAACATTTCTTTAAATGCCAGGAAGTCAGTAAAGGTAAGAAGCATGTCAAAAATGTCCCCTGCTATTTCATCCTTGTGCTGCCTGCAAAAGAAAGATTTGGATTTTACTTATTTAAAAGCCTGTCTCCCACGAGGGCACAGCTTGGATCCAAAGTCTTCCTCCTGTTTGTGTTGAGTAAATAAGGCAGAGAGACTAAAGCTGTTAATCAAAATAAAGTTCTTTATCTAAATCTATTAGTAAGGGGGGGAAATGGGAAAGTTCTAATCAAATAACAAAGTCCTAAACTACATCTTTATACAAAGTAGGCTAATATATACCACAAGTCTCTAAGGGGGAAAAGGTAAAAGCCTAGCGCAAGGCTGCTGAGCAAGTAACCTCTCTTCTAGAACCTTAACAGGAAGAAGCTCAAGCTCATTAGCCAACCCAAACACTGCTAAATTAAAACGATCCAATCAGTTTCTCAAACACACCAGTTAACATACAGGACTGGCTCTGGGCCAGGCTGCACATCCAGGTCAGGCCTCTGGTAGAATCATAACAAATATGTTAATCCTATAATGACTGAAATTTAGATCTTGCCATATCCCAACAGTTTGCACCCCTCTTCATTAATTGGGGGCAGTCCCACATAGGTGAGGGCAGGGTACCAGTCAAAATGGTTGTACACTGATCATGTGAAAAAGCAAAGGCCACGCCCCCAATCAGGAACAAAAGGGGGTGGGGAGGCTAACAAATGCACAGCTGCAAGGAAAAAAGTGAGGCATGTCGAAGGGGCCCTGCTGACGCACCACAAGAAAGACCGTCGAAAGAAAAATGGAGCCAGAGACTGCCGAGACGTCGAGCCGGCGAAAAAGCTGACCCGGGAATTCCAGTGCCTCCACTGGGTGCCGGTAGGGATTGTCAGTAATTTCTGTGGTCACAGAATCGGAGTTTAAGAAAATGCTACAATCACAGAAATTGCTGTCAACTGAATTTACATATGCCTAGTTCACACAGTAACAGTGCAATCCTATGCAGTTACTCCAACTAAAACCAACTGGGCTTAGACTGAGGTAACTGCATAGGATTACGCATTACACTCCCTTCGGGAAGGTGTTAGCTGCCGAGTGCGACTTCTGAGGCGCGTCGAGATCGGAAAGATGGAAGAGCTGTGTCGGCTTCCCTGCAGTGGAGTGAGTCGGCCAGGCAGTGGCAGTGTGGCAGCACAACATCAAGAAGCCCTGACGTCATCAGCCAGCTTACAAGAATACATGCCATCGGAACATGACTGATCCAGCCCGTAGATGTAGCCCCGGCTAGCTGCAATGTGTGTGCAATTAAAATGCTGTATGTTGTCTTCCCTATCCCAACGAACATTGTTAGTCCAACTGTCAAAGAGTAACTGTAAAATTGCTCTGAGCCCACAGGTGTGTGGGAAAGAGCAATTAATAAATCGAAAGTATTATTATTATTATTATTATTATTATTATTATTAGGTTTTGCCACAGGATCATGAACTGAAACAGGATCATGAATGGGTAGATCGGGGGAGGGGGGAACACAGTACCGGACCAACTAGCCAAACATGTTTGGGTTATGACTGCTAAGCACCAGAATGACCATCTGGCAGCAGACCACCTTTTCTTAATCTTTCAGAATTATCAACACTATCATTTAAGTGCCAAAAATGACCTGGGGCTTGCAAGGGAACTTTACTTCCAAAGCAAGGCCACCTGAATACAACCCAGAAGGGAAGCATGCATCTAAGGTTGTTTGCCTGTTCCTTCTACATGTCATAAACACTTCAGCCTAAGGCATGACATGCCAGATGAATCCCTGGAGAGCAAGTTTTTCCTTTTAAATAAATAAATCCTTCCCTAAAATGAACATTTATCCCCCAGACTTCGGGAGTGCCTTTCTGAAAACAGGCGCTACAACGTACAAGGTGTAAAATAAAACCGCAAACATTTTAAACATGGAAAAAACAAAACAGCGCATCTGAGAGGCATTAACATTCAAAAACAGAAAGTGCCTGAGTGAAAACAAAGTCAGATATTTAACCAGTTTCCTTAGGAGAGGCGATTCCACACGAAGGGGACCACTACAGGCAAAGCCCTGCTCTGACTGCCTCACAACCTCATCCTGGGTGATTTTAAAACATGGGAGGTTCCTGTAGGCAGAGATGCTCCACCCTCAAGTAGGCGGGGCTCAAAGAGAACTCTGGTCTAAAGGCTACCTAAGCATTGTGGGGTGGAGGAAGCACAGTACTCACAACAAACCAACGCCAAGGATATAGCCAACTTACTGCAGGGACAAGGTGAAAGCCGACATGCTGAAGCCAGGAATCCTGTCCAAGAGCTTCTCTTCAATATATTTCTCAACTAAGCAGATCTGGAACGACAAGCAGAGTCTGGTTTCTACCTGAAGAATGCAGAAGAAAACTTTGCCTACTACCGTTAGATTGTCTGAGGGGCAAAATGATGCTCTGCGCAGGCAAGGGACAAAGCTTGATAGACTTCTAATGCCCAGACCAGGATTTGGGGTCCATACATACTTCATCAAAGAGCTGAATTTGCCACAATGAAATATAAACAGGACCCAGACAAGATGAAGATCATAGTTCTCAATCATGATTGATCCACAACATGAAACTTGCAAGCTTGAACAGCCTCAATTTGCCTCAGAGCTATTCAAAACTGGCTCCCCTGTTCTGCTATCAACATTTGAAATGCATGTTTTTGAAGTGATCTTGGCATTCTCTAATTAAGCTTTCAGTCTGCTTCAAGAGCTCAGGTTACTTTTCATTTTGGCTCAATGCCATGTTATAAAGACTTTTCAGGCTACATATGAAGGAAAAGTAGAAAAGTTTTTACAATTCATTTTTTAAAGTAACCATTGACCTTCAGAACTCAACTAAAAGCTGCAAGATACAAAAAAAATGTCTCTTGTAAGCCAGAAGCTTTAGCAGGAAGGGCGGGATACAAATCGAATAAAATAAATAAATAAATAAATAAATAAGAGCCCTGCTGGATCAGACCATCTAGTCCAGCATCCTGTCTCACACAGTGTCCAGCCAGTTCCTCTGAAGGCCCAACAACAGAGCATAGCTGATACCTTCCCCTGATATTGAGTCCTAGATCTGGGATTCGGAGGATTAGTGCCTCTGAAAGTGGAGGTTCCCCTCAGTCACCATGGCTAGTAGCAACTGATACTTATCTTCCATCAATCTATCTAAATTTCGTTAAAGCTGTTTATTCCTGTGGCCATCGCTACATGCTCTGGCAGCAAATTCCACATTTTAATCACTCTCTGTGTAAAGTAGTTCCTTTTCTCCATTCTGAACCTACTGCCCATCAGCTTCATTATAAGAACATACAAGAAGAACATAAGCATTCCAGCAGCTGTCAGAATTGCTCATTTTCGGACAAGGCCCTGCCCCTTGAAGAGCCAATGATCAGCATCAGAGCAAGCCTGCGGGAACGCTCATTTCAACGCTGTGAAAACATTGGCTTCCCTGCAGAGCAGGTGGCTGTTAAACGCACAATGGTAAGCCAGGCTGATCTAGTGGCAACAAAAACAGCAAACAGCCTTGTGTGTCACTCCAACAAGGAGTCAGAGCTCACTTCTTCACAAGCGTGATGTTGGTCAGACTCCACAAATCTCTGGCCTTGCATGCGCCAGCCTTTCCCTCTCCATTGCTGCAAATCACAGAAGCAAATTCCTGGCATATGTGCAAAAAGACAGCTTCACCAGCGGAGGTGCTTTCCTCCATGAGAAGGGGCCGTCCCCTCATGGCAAGAAGCCGCCTCTTACACCAGAAGGCTCCTTCTGCTAGGGAAAAGCGCCTCCATTCACAGAATGGATCTGTGGGACCCAACTCCAAATCTGTCAATCTGCGCAAAACGTATAAACTATTAATAAAGAGACACACACTTACGTATTCATTAAAAATAGGAGTGTAGATTAGCTTATTTTCCTCCGTATCGTCAAACTCTTGATAGTACTTATCCATGAAGTTTCTTTGTATGAGCTGAAAGTCCTGGTCTGAAATCACAAGGCAATGACCTAAAATTAGTCAGGGTGACCATTGAGTCAAAAGACAGTAGCTGTGCTGTTTTCAGGATGAAGCCCAGTACGCCATGTCCTGGAGTCAGCTGTGATAACAGCACAGCTGTAGCTGGCTGGGGGGGGGCACCATCCAGGCGTGCTGGCTGCCAAGGCAATTTTCATTACATAGCCAGCCAAACCTCCTCCAGCATGAGAAGTGGAGCAGAGAAGGTTGGGCCTGATGAAGCCCTTGGACAGCTTCACCCGGGGAAAGCAGCTAGCCGTGGGGAAGGGCTGTGGCTCAGTGGCAGAGCATCTGCTTGGCATGCAAAAGGCTTCAACCCCTGGCATCTTCAGTTAAAAGCATCAGGATGTAGGTGATGGGAAAGACCTCTACCTGAATCCCTGGAGAACTGCTGCCAGTCTGAGTAGAAAGGACAGGAATAAATGGGTCAATAGCCCTATGGCAGAACAGTCCGCCCCCCAAAAAAGGTCAAGTGGTGGCAGTTGAACAGACAGAGTGAAAAGCCCCTTCCAGTTGTTGGGTAAGCCTTGGATGGGATTATGGTGGGATAGGGCCTAAAGGTCACAGCAGGTGTGTTCCGTCAAAGGTCTGATTTAGTAGAAGGCAGCTTCAGGTGTTCATGAGATCACACCCAATGCCATGAAGAATTCCACTGGCACAAAATCACTATGCTTGACGCTGGGTGAATTAATCTGCAATAACACATCCACCGTATCCGCCCCCTTGCCACCAAACATTAATGGGGGTGACCATCTCAGATGTTTGTTGGATAGCTTCCAAGACATCTCTCTCTGAACAAGCCCAATCCAGGGACACACAATGTTGAATTTCTGTTTACTTTTTTGTTAGTACATTCCAAAATAAGCCCCTTCCTGCTCCATGTATCTAATGCATTTTTATTCTACCCTTCCTTCAAGCTCAGGGATAGACGCATGGTTCTCCCTTCCCCAGTTTATCGCCACAAATGTTTTTTATGCTGACACATGATGTATCTGTTATGGTCTTTCCTAAAAATTATGTGCTTGAGCCTACTTTAAAGGACTTGCCTAAACTCAGGAGCCGGGTTGCCATGGCACATAGGAATTTATCCCAGGAGGTAAGTGAGGCTAGGAGAAAGTAACTTGCCCATGCTCATCCAGTAAGCTTCAATGGTAGAGTGGCGATTCAAACCCAGGTTTCTCAGATCCTAGTCTGGAATGCTAGCCATTATATCACACTTGCTTATAAGGGGAAGGAGAGGAAGCGGCACCTGAACAAGGTTACTTCCGATCCTCCAAACAAGTCCTGTTATTTCCAATCATTTTTCCCCATTTAAAGCAGGCCTTGACAAATTATCACTGGCTCTATGAGCCAGCCCAAAAATATAGGAGTCAAACTAATTTTCAGCCTCCAGACTTTTTAATGTCTATACTGCTGCCACAAAATCTAATCCTAAACTCTCCACAGCTTCTTTTAATTTTATTAAAACAATGACAAAATTGTTATAGTGTATAAATATGGAGTTTGTCATTGCCACAATAAAAAACTAACCTCTCACCCTAACCTTTCCAGATTCTTATAACTTCATTATTGTTTTAAAAAGCTCAGTGGAGAAAGCAACTGGTTAAGAAATGAATGCATCTACCACCACTGAGTGGTGTAAAATTAACATTTTAAAAAAAGAAATGACAAGAACTTCATGCACCTGTGATTTTTATGTCATACAGCAAAGCATATGCGGATGCGAAACAAGGTATGTATTTCTAAGGATAGCCGAGAGACACCATAATGAAATAACTGTTGAAAATACTAGGTAGCCTAATGAAATTCCTAGGTGCAATGGCAACCTGGCACCTGGGATTTGTCAAGCACTGCTGTAACGGCTCAAGCACATACTTTTTAGGGCAAGCCACAGAAGATATCCCATTTGTCAGCATCAAAAATGTTTTAAAAATAATTGTGGAGCATTTTACAGGATGGGCAACCACCTGCTGGTAAGGGGAATGACTGATCCCCTGACCTCACCTGTATGAGACTGCATCGCAATGGATGAAGACAGCTATAAACAGAAGGAAGGCTTTGGTTCTAAGCTGTGCCTTTGCTTTGCCAAACTAGTTTTTCATCATAAGATACTGCCTTCACATCATAACTGCACAGTCTTCCAACTTCTGCCTTCACATCAAGAGATATGCTGGACTGTGGCACAGAATGGCAGCCTGGTTGCTGCAGAGAGTTGATTTGCCTGTTCTCTTCAAGACCCAATCAAACTGAAAGTTGTAAGGTGTACCATTCTCACAAGCCACATGGCTAGCCAGTGGGGTAGCTCCAAGATCACACCACCTACCAACTCCTGGCTTTCCCCAATGCTGCCTTCCCTTGTTGCGCTTCTTCAAGCTTCCTGTGCATGACTGGCTAAAGGGTGGGTAGTGCCCAGTTTTCCCCTGTGTCTGCCCAATCAGTACTTCACAGAGAAAACAGAGGTGGCTGTGAGGAATGAGGAAGGAATGAGAATTGTGCTGCTGTGTAAAGGAATGTACATTCCAGCTGCATTCAGGCACCAAAGGCAAGAGTGCCATGCTTTCCCATGTTCGAAGGCCCACCAACAGCCGGTTTTATTAGCTCTTTATTCTTTATTCTACTTTGAGCACCAAAGGGTTGCAGCTTAAAAATGACACAAATAAGGTCATAAAACCAACCAGATAAAAGTCTGCCCGGCAAATGAACTAGAAAAACATGAAGGAATTCACACACCTCAACCTTTCAAGTGCTTTCTCTAGCATGATGTTGTAGCCAGCCATTTCATTGGCTTGGTGAGTCTCTTTGGAATAAATGACTGGAAATTCTGGTAAACGAGTCTGCCTGGAAATCTGGGTTTGTACACAGACTAGTGTCATAATTGGGTATTAATCTGAAATAGCATTTCTTTTTTTAAACAAATCATTATAAAGCTGTAGAAGACTGCTTTGGAGAAGTTCTCATTTGAGAGCAAATTTAATTCACCTTTGGTGGGACTGTCCCTATACGAAAAATTATGGAAAGCAATTTTGGATGCTGTTGAATTGAGAGCTGGTTACAAAATACATTTAGACCCACTTCATGTACTACTTGGTTTGCTGCCTGGAAGTGCAAAAAAGGAGCCTTACTTGGGATTTATTTACAGCAGCTAAAATCTTTATAGCAAAACACTGTCACTGTTCAGAATCACTTCTGTTTTCAGTTTGGCATGCGCAAGCCTGGAATATTGCAGAGATGACTGAAATCACAACATTTTATTCAGAAGAGGATAGACTTTATGAAGAATCTTTACTGTGATTTATATCTTGCAGTTCTTTTCCTGTAATTATGTGTAATGGTAAGGGGGGGGGGAGGATGACAGGTAGCTTGGTGGGCCTCTTTGGGTGGAACCACCTAAAGCAAAACTCACCCATTATGATGTCTTCCAAATATCCAACAACAGCATCAAATTCTGCATCTGAAGGGGAAGAACTAAACAGGGTAAGAACAAATTAGATCAAGGCTATTCTGGGATGCAAAACATCCAGGGCACACCTCACAATGATACGTAGCATCATCTCAATAACCTATACAACAGCCTTGCAAGGAAAGTCAGTACTCTCCCCATTTTGCAGATGTGGGGAGCTGCAGTCAAGACAACTGCCAATGGTCCCCAAGTGAATTTTCTGCTGAGACGAGATCTGAACCAGGAACTGTGACAGACAACCTCTAGTTCTGCCCTACAGCATCCCAGCAAATCCCTGCCTACGGCGGGAGAAGGCCAGTGTTCCCTCTAAGGTGAGTTAGTGTGAGCTAGCTCACAGTTTTTTAGCCTCCGGCTCACACATTTTTGTCTTAGCTCAGGAAGGATGGCTCCAGAGCCAACTAATAGATGCAGTAGTCAAATCGCTCGCTCACAACTTTAATGCCAGTAGTTCACAAAGTTGAATTTTTGCTCACAAGACTCCGCAGCTTAGAGGGAGCATTGGAGAAGGCAAATACTAAGTGGCATCAGCCAATGGCAGGCTGTGTGGAGCCCCTGGGAGGGAGGAGGAGAGTTAAGTGGAGGAAAAGTCTGCCATTGCCTCAGATAGGGCTTGGGGAAGCAACAGAGAAACAGGGAGAGCTACCAGGAGATTATTTAGGTAATTAGCCTTTGCCCAGTGAAAGAAAAGAACCCAGAAATCTATGCAATACAAAGGGCTTGGGGTCGATAAAGTGGCAGGAACAGAGCAGATATCCTGTATTGCCTTAGGGAAATAGCAGGTTAGGGACTTCTGAGAGGACTGAAACATTCCAAGAGACAAGGCAACCCAACTGCAATAGGCTGATATTCTTGGATTTAAGGAGTAATTCTAAATGAAATCATTCTTTCACTATCTGGCAGAAACAGCCTGTTAATTCAGTAAAGCGGGGGGCGGGGGGCAGTGTTCCCTCTAAGCTGAGTTAGTGTGAGCTAGCTCACCGTTTTTTAGCCTCTGGCTCAGACATTTTTATCTTAGCTCAGGAAGGAGGGCTCCAGAGCAAACTAATTTATGCAGCAGCCAAATTGCTCACTCACAACTTTAATGCTAGTAGCT